TAAGTATTAAGAGTCTCAGCGGTATACTTGGATTAATATGGTTTATTGGAATTTTAATTCCAAACTACAAGCAACTGGCTAAAGTCTAATGAAACAGGAATTAATATCAGTTTTATAATTAGCCAAGTTTAGAGAATTCCTTAATTTCCTAAAAGGCATCAAACGTGCCTTCTTCAGAAACGTTGATGAAACAATTTTGGAACGTTTCTATTCGCTCCAAAAAGCGTTTCACATTCTGGAAACATTTTTAGAACATTTTAGGGGACTGGTCTCAAGTGAGAAGCACGCACAGTTTGGGCACACAGTGTGTGTTGGTGTGGTCTCATGGCGAATGGAATTTTACATTGTATGAAAATAAAATTGAACAAATATTGAATTATATAAATCAGAATTGAGAGATGAAAATTATTAAAAATTAAAAGATGTCTACTGAAAAGAAAATGAAATGTCTCCGAAACGGCAGAGCGCACATTCTTCATTAAATTTAATGGAACTCCTAAAATTCTTTTTTTCATTACAGAACTGTAACGAAATTTTAACAAGATAACATAGTGAGCTAATTCTGTGAAATTAAAAAGAAAAAAGGGGTCAAAAAGAGAATTTTCAGGAGAATCATTTGTTTCAATATAACAGTTTCTAGATTACCATTCACTCTCTTACTCTCTAAATTAAAAGGTTATATTTATTTACACAATCGATTTTTACCTTATTATACATTACAAGCGTTCACGTTTAAATTATTATAAATTTTATATCTCGTTTTTACTGTGTCGTAATAATTTAATTATCAAATTATTACTATTTTATTAATTATTATTATCACCGTTGATTTTTTTTTAAATTTTGGTTATAGTATTTAGTTATTATTATAAATATTTAATAAGGTTTAGTGTCATGGCCAATTTTTTTTTTGTACTTATTACTAATATCTCTCTAGGTGCTTTCATTGTTCAAGGACCATCTCAAAAGTTCCCCAGATTGAGAAAAGTTTATTATCCGAGCACCACGTAAGAGAGCGGGAAATCAAACGCCATATAGATATATAGTAACTGCGGGAACAATGAGAATAAAAAATAATTAAACATTTATATATAATGACAGACTGCATCTCAACCGGTGAATAAACTTTCCTCATACATGACCACGACAGATATATATATATATATGTAATATATAAATCTTTAGATTCAGAGAAATATATATGTAATATAGCATCCAACATTCAATACAAATTATATATATATTAGATTAGGGTTCTAAAATTTTTATTTATTAATATAAAAACATTTTTTCTTTTTTAATATCCTGTCCCCACAAAAATCATTGGAAACTTAATAAAAACATAATCTCCAAAAATGAGTTTTTAATGAGTTTCCAGAGTCTTTAAATTGATAGGGAATGTGAAATGAAAAAATGTAATTTTTTTATCCGAGAACCTCTTTTTTTTGAATTTTTAAATAAAAAAACTTTCTGAATTAAAAAATTGTTTACAGTAATTAAATAGAATATAAATGTGTATTTTAAAACCCTTACAATATTTAATAATAAAAAGAAGGATGAGAAAAAAAATTATTTCAAATGTTTCTCCGATTCTCCATATGATACATATAAAGAGAGCAATATATAAATATAATATGAATACTGATAAGGGATTATAAGAAATATATATATATATAGTATATAATGTGATAAATTCGATATAGACAGATAAAAAAGAGACTGCAGCTGCACATCGAGTTTCATGCAAAAAACATTGAATAATAATATAACGCTCAAATGAAACATAACATAAAATAAACCCTTATAGAAAATAAAAGAAATATATGGAAAAAAGTGATTTAAAAAAAAAAAAAAAAAATGAGACCCATAAATATAATGGAAACAATGTTTTCTAAAATTAGGGTAATATGAAATAATTAATGTAGAATAATTAATTAACGTTATTTATAATTATGTATAAATTCTGAAAAGTAGACACTAAATTGTTTAATATATATGATTTCTTTTTAGAAATATTCTACTATAAAGGATTTTCTACAGTATATTGAAAAATTGTTACAAATTAAGGAACTATCTTATATATTGGAATTAAGACAAAATAAGAGGACATTTTCTATGAATCTAATGATAATTATTATTGGCATTATAGTAATTAATATTTATCTACTTATTCACTACAACTACTTGTGTATAGTATCTTTTGTATATTTTCTTTTTTCCCTTTTTTAAAAATTTTTTTGGCCTTTTTAATTGAATTTTTAATGTCATAATTTCTATTAAGTGACAAACTTTTTATTATAGATGTTTAATAATTTTTTTAATTTAATAATATTAATAATGATCATAATTATAATAAGATAATAATAATAATAATAATAATAATAATAATAATAATAATAATAATAATAATAAAACAATCCTACACAGGACCTAAACTTGCAGTAATATTGGCAATATTTCCTCAATATTCTAAGTAGCAAAATATTTCTGCAATTTTAGATGCTATGAGGGATAAAATAATTAATTTGATTTAATGAATACCAAGATTTCACTTAAAAAATCAAATTATTTAAATAATAAAATGGAATGAAACTGTTTTTAGAATACTATATTTAACATTTTAATTTTTTTGGATACAAAAACATCTTTATGATTTAAAAAAAAGACATATTTGTTTTGAAAATGTTTAAGGAAGCATATCCAGTCATCTAATATCATAAGGAGGAGCGTTCCATTTCTGTTGGTTCATTGTGGAAAGAAATGGAAAGGAGTGGAAGCGTCTTCAGCCTTTCTAGTGTCACCAGCGGAAGAAGTTTGATTCCGCCTGACCAAGACAACGAGGCAATCGAAGAGGAACGCGAGAAATGCATGAAGCTTAAACAGAAGAGGGCTGTTGTCTTTAGGGGATCGAGGAAGATATCGCAAAGATGGTAAAGTTTGGCACCTCTTGTGAAGATTGCAAAGGTAACGGAAACATCGAATTCCAAGCAAATCGGGAGGAAGAAGTGGATCTAAAATAGTGATCCAAGTTGCAACTGGAAACACGTGTGCCGACGTATTGAGCAAACTTCGTAGGAAAGTGAATTTGAACGTTAATCACACGTGAGTCATTGGTGTAAGGTCTACAAGAAAGGGAGACTTCCTGATCAAAATCGGAGGAGACTCCAATAAGGCGACATTCACTGCTGAGGTCACAAAAACGGTTGAAAGCATGGACGGTGGATTGAAGCACACTGGAGATCCGCGACCTGGATTGCCTTACCCAGGAAGAGGAAATGCAGCAAAGATTGCAAGAAGTATTCGAAAAGCCAAAAAAAAAGGAAGGTGACGGTCCTAGAACCCAACAAACGAGGGATGAAGCTCGCAGTTTTAGTCACCGAACCAAAAAGAGGCGGACAGGATGGAACATTTGGAGTGCTGCAAAAAGGTAGGTTTTATGTCGTGCCAAATAAAAAAAGAATGTTGGTCATTAGGTATTACCGATGCCTTAATTATGGTCATATAGAAAAAGTTTGTAAGGCAGAGGACGAGTTTTAAGTTCGGTGAAGCTGATCACAAGTTCGCAGACTGCAAAAGAAACTCAATACCAAAAACCTTCTCCTACAAAGTTTAAAGCTTGACGAATGTTTCGTAAAATGAGAATTACTTCACCCAAAGGGTGTGGGTTTTAGTGGATCACTGGATATGCACCATTAAAAATCACTTTAATAATAAAGAAGTTTCTGTGCCAATTATATTATCTTAATTAAAAAAATTTTAATACAAAAAAAAATTATTACAGCATATGAAAAAATATTTCTAAAATCCTAAATTAAATAAAAGGTTTGTCAAACGAAATGAATAAAAAAATGTGTCTCGTGAAAAACATTTTTTGTTGTAGATTCAAAATTGAACATATTTGCTTATAATTATGAAAAAAATTTCGTTTTGTTTACCGTTCACGCACCCTAACCTAAGGATGTTTATATAATAAGACACAAAACTGAAAAGATACGTACAGATACTAATTTAAGCAGATCGTGGTGGCTAGCGATGGGAGATAATATTGAGTGGTCCTTGCATCAATGCAATCAACGAAAAACACAGAGAGAAAATTTAATAATAATAATAATAATAATCGAAAAAGAAGATGAATAGTTAAAAAGAGGTAGAGGGTGGGTATCGCGACCTTTCGACTGCTTCTTATTTTTCGCCTTTCTATATCTTGGTCCAATTTTTTTATTTAACTATATTTTTTTCTATTCTTTCGGACTTTTTATATAGTCAACTACACAGGAGACAAATGGATTATATAGAATTTTTATAGATGACAAAATTAAATTCAAATCCGAATCAATTCATAACCTCAACTATATTAAATTTTTTAACAAATCCATTATTCTCCTCTTTAAAAATTGATAATCAAAATGCAACGACAAAGAAGATAAAATATTTGAGATTAAAAAAAGCAATAAAAAATACGATATCACTTATAATTTAAAACTATCTAGTTTTTTTTTTTTTTTTTTTTTTTGTTGACTAGAAGCAAAGTAAAATATAATCCAATTCCTAAAGAAAATTTTTTTTCGGACGAAACTTGTGCTTGATTGCTGAAATAAAAGCCACGTTACACACACACATATCATAGTTTTTTTTTGACAATATTATAATTGTAAGAATGAATAAAAAAAAAGGTATAAACCCTCCGAAAGAGAAAAAATTTATCGAATGTAGAAAAATTTCCTGAAAAACTCTTTTTGACTATATAAATATATAAAAATGAAACAAGAAAAAAGACAGCATTTTGAATACGCATTATCCGCAAATATCTATCTACTGAATATTTAAAAGAGATACTAAAAAAAATCGAAGATTTTTAATCACCTGTAGAAAGAAATTAATTGGAAATTTTTTTTTTGTGTAAAAAAAATGGAAAAAAAAGAAGAAAATTAAATGTTTCCATTTTGGTAAAAAAAAAAAAAGAAAAACGGTGAATTTCGCCCATGAGAGATTGATCATACCTTGCTATTTGCGAAGAGAAGACCAACGCCTTCCATGCACACTTGAAGAAGACCACCCTCGCCAGTTCGCATATCTTGAACCGGAAATTCGCCTCCTAATTCGACGCCAACGTTGGCGCCACGACCTCTGGCTGCAGCCTTCTCCATCGCATCTTTTATACAGTAGTATAGGTCCTTGCACTGTAAGGTAAATATATATTTTTTTTAAACTAAATTAGTAACGGAATTCGAATATAAATTAATTAGCGGATTAATCGTTGTAAAGAAAATTGTTTCTAAAGGATTTAAGAGGAGATTTAATACTCTTAATTAGAGGGTTCCCTTCTTAACCAAGAAGAGGTTGCCAAACTGGAGGAATTGGGTTTTATGTGCTGTCAAATAAGAAACAGAGTCATGGTCGTTCGATGTCACCGATGCCTGGGTTACGGCCATCTTGCAAGAAGCTGCACGGAAGCAGACAGATCGGTTGCGTGCTTTAAGTGCGAGGAAGCAGATCATAAGTTTGCAGACTGCAAGAGCAGTTCTAGTTTGCTGCTTGTGCAAAGCGAAGACCGTCGACAAGGTTCCTCTCAACCACGTCGCTGAAAGTGGAGCATGCAGAATCTTTAGGTCAGCCCTCGGGGAAGCCAAGAAGACTCTCGCAAGAACCAAAGCCAAGTAGGCCATAAAGATCGGCAGGGGTCACGATAGCGAGATCCCAGGGACCTTCACCTACGAAGTTTAAAGCTTGACGGCAGTTCCGTAGTTGAGGATTAGTACAGCCAAAGGGTGTGGTTTTTAGTGGGTCGACTAAAACAAGAACGGTCATCATAACCTCGGAACAAAGAGCTCCAGGTATCGACCTTGGATACCAAGGATTATGCAGATTTTCCACGTCACTCATAAAAAAAATACTCTTAACTACATCTTTAGGTAAAATTACTCTATCTTTAAATTAGAAGGCGCGACAGATAGCTACAGAGGAGAATTGGAAGAATTGTTATATAGTTCAGTAATTGACGACCCATTGTATTTTAAATTCGAAATTATAGAAATAAACATACCTTTTTCGTATAGTACTTGTGCAATTGCGTTTGCCCTCCATTCCGCCTCCAAAGGCAGAGAACTTTATTCTTAGGGCTGTAAGTCATATTGACTAAACGCTCGTACCACCATCGTTCAACAATTACACCGTTAACGGATCTGAGCACCAATCCATCATGTCGTACTTCTAAAAAACGTAAATCACCCTCAGCATCGACTCCTGCATGTACGGTAAACGACTGACGGTGCATTTGTCGAGAATTTAATGGTTTAAGATCAATATCATTTCCATTCTGTAATGAAAAATTAATTACTGAATGGAATCCATTAAATGATACTTTAAACAATTTTTAAATCCCTACCAAATTATTTATCTGATCAAGAAGTTGATTCAATTCCTGACTATAGATAAGGCCGATATGACTTTTGCCGAGCAATCTTCGTACTTTTCGTTTAACTTGATTTTTATCAACATTCAACATTACTAGAATTGCTGTTAAATTGTGAAGTAAAGTACAGAGTAATCTATCTTCATCGTGTTCCAAACGTCTTCTTTCGCTATCACTTAAACCCTTGTACCTAAATTAGAAAAAACGAAATAATTATTTTAATTTTAAACTACTGAAAATTTTCTCATAAATACCTTTCCATCATTTCTCCAGGGCCTTGATCCATTCCCATCATGTCTCGCTCTTGTGAAACAGCGTCAAGGAATGCATCCTCCCAAAATTGCACTTGGTCCCATAGGGACGATCTTTCTTTGCCTAAAAGTCCTAAAATCAAAACATTTTGTTAGTAAATACAAGATTTTTCGTACAAAAAGTAGTTTCGGATATTGCTACAGTAGGGAGCATAGCAATAAATTTCGAAAAACTAAAAAATAGCGAAGTCGAATTATTTGAAACGAACCTTCGAAAAGATATGTTCTGGCTGCTTCTGGACTTGGAGTTGTTGTTGTCGGTACCAAATTTCCTGCATGATATCTAAAACCCGTACTTAGTGAGGATTTACTTGACCAAACACTAGAAGTCCTTTGCTTTTGCCGAGGAAACTGTAATCGTAAAATGATTTATTCTTTCTGATAAGAGCGGTGTTCGTATTAATTTCCGGCGGAAATGTGAAAAATAACAATTTTAAAAAAAGGAACATTTGTTAATTAATACTTACATTGCCTTGCTCAACTTCACTATCTGAAACAGTACTGCGAAATGAGGCCTGATGAGTTTGTCTAAACGCAGGATTTGTCGTTATACTTCCTCCGTCTGTTGACAAAGCTTCACTACTCCCTGTTCCAGCACCTCGTCCACCCTGAAAATTATTTAAAAATTATTATTGAAAATTATTCCAGTCATCAATAAACCAAAAATTCGTATTTCTGGAAGTATCCAATAACTTTTATTATTTCTTTTGCCTTACCTCTGAATCAAATGAAGTCAATCTACTGAGAAGTTTTCCCTTTTTCGTAAACATTTCCAAAAACATATCAGCAGTTGATTGAGAATCTTCACCACTTGATTGAGAATGTGGCCTCTCTAAACGAACCTGTGGTGGATCTGGGGAAAATACGAAAAATTAACATCATTACAATTCCTAATGGATAAAGTCAAAATTAAACATACCGTGCATTTTATGAATATCGCCACTATCAACTTGATCGTGAGATTGAGGAGATCGGAGATTTTCTTTACTTCCAAATGGAGTGGAAGCCTAAATTAAAATTTTCCATAATTAATTTGCGATCTCTGTATACCTCTGAATTTCTCCTCACATCCAATCCAAAGGTATATCAGTAAATCAGTAAATTTATAAAATTACTATACCTGCGACATTAGTGAACTATCAAAACCACTTTCTAGTAAATCTTTACTCCAATAGTGGGTGTGAGCAATTTCCATAAGTTGGAACACAGAAGCCATACCACCTAATCCAAAATTACTAAAAGTCACAGCAAGACCATGAGACACTGCTTGTAAACATTTTAACATTCCTTTGTAAACTGGTTTTGATATACACTGAAATTATTTAATTGTCAGTTTGGAAGATCCTAATTTTCAACCGCTTTATGAAAATACAAAAATTCTTACCACATCATCTATATGATCGTCAGGACTAATTTTTCTATGTAGACCATTGTTTAATTTAGTTAAAATAAAATCCCGATAACTCTCATCCTCCATTAAACTTTTTAATCGATTCAATTTTAACCAACCAACACCTTCACCCGCCAATACTTGATTTACCACCTGTAGAGAAAATCTCTCTCTTATCTCATTGTTCTTAGCAATTAAATAAAAATTTACAGAGAATTTTTAAACAATATGGGAAAATATTTTTATTTTATTTAATAAGAATTTTTATAAGAGGTCCATTAAAGTTTATTCCTTCCAAGGATGGAATTTTTTTCAATTTTCCCATTATTAAGAATATTTAACAGTTACAAAAACTTACATCAGTAAGGAATGTCTGATTATTGCTATTTGTACTCGATCTCTCAGCATTTTGCATTCTTTGCAATTCCTCTTGACTATTCTTATTAGTCGAATGTTTAATTAAAGACGATCGCTCTGCTAATCCAGGTTTACCTAAAAAAAATAAATTAAAATTTTCAAAAATTTAGAAATAAAAAAAAAAATTCTCTGTGCGATTTAATGATGGAATGTGCGTACCTTTCGGAAAAGGTCCGAACGAGTGGTTCTTTTCTTTGGATTTTTGTGATTGCGGTAGGAAGCAATTGTTGCGACTAGAACTATTTTTACTACCTGCAGATCAAAGTGCAAATATATATTTTTTTTTATCGCAAGCCAAACTATGCAAACTAGATTAGCATTTAAAAAATGAAATTTAAGCGTATAAATTTTTTTGTGTGCGAGAAAAATTATGCTCACTAGAAGCTACATCTACCATTATAATCAAATTACAATATGATTGAGCTTCTAGTGGAGCATTAATTTTCGAACAATGAATTAGCAATGTTTAATTAATTAAAATCTTACCAAATAAGTCGCTAAACATGCTGGAAGTTTGAGCTGCAATACCATTCAAATCATTGCTAATGTTGCTAAAGAAATCTCGACCTATTTCTCGTCGACCAGTTCGAGAATCAGGAGCAACTAATTGAGTGCTATTTGAATCCTTTCGTGGCATCATTCCAGGTCCTGGAGGTTCTGGTGATGATTGAGAATCTCCCAGACTCTGTAAGGAAAAAAATTTCCCTTTCTTAATTATTGGTTAAACAAAAAAAGTCAGAAATCTATTGCATTTCTCTAGAATTTTTTAACTCTTGATTATGATACATTCCTTTTTCTATTTTTGTTTTAGGATCCCATAAAATATACATTCTTGGCTTTATTACTTTTTGATTTCATAAGGACTTTCTTATACTTGTAAAAATTTTGCAATAATTTTATTTTCCTTATATGACCTATTTAATAATTCTATTAAAATTTTATCTCCGATTTTAAATTCTTTAAGTTTATTCTCTTCTTTTTTCTGTTTTACAAAGGTTAACTCTAATTTCCTATCACAATTCATATTTTTCAAAATCATTTTTACCTTAAGTAAACCTTTCTTCGCCGCTGCTTCTTTCGCCGTTTTTGTTAGATCGCCAATTGTACTTTTTCCAACGTATGTCAGATCATCCAATGTATTTTTACTAACGCCTGCTGCATTTTTACTTGCCTCTAAAGCAGATTTCGATGCCTCTTGCATTGATTTGCTTGCCTCACCCATTGCTTTTTTAGTCTGTTGCGTAAACTGTAGAAATAAAAATCATATATTTTCAAAAGGAACTGAAATAATTTTTTATTTTTTGTTTTATCAACAAAAAAAAAATTCTTTTTAATTTTGGAAATCTAAAGTAAAGCAGGGTCTGGTGAAGTGCCTTTCAATAAAAAATAACTCCATTCAGCGAGCTTTCCAGCAATAAGTGGTGATAATGCGCGCACTATTTTTGCTAAAGGAACTTTTTAAAACCCCCAGGTTTTTTTTTTACTGACATTTCATTTTTAATAATGTACCTGTTCTAGTGGGGCAAACAAGCTATCTTCTCCTGCTTCCGCGATCTTTTCTTTCGCTTGATGCTTTAACTAAAAATTAACAAACAACGAAATTTGTTCAATGCAATCGTTAGGAGAATGCATAATCATAATCTGGTGATGATTTAAATTTCCATATAAAGTGTGATGAAAAGAATTTTGTATTTAAATAAATCGTCACCATGGTAAAAATAATAATAATTTTCTAGATAATTTAAAATTACCTTGTCCATGTGTGCCAAAATTCCTTCCTGGCTACTTTGTCTGGTTGTTTCGCGTACCAGACCTTTGGCTTGTGAAGCAAATTGTTCAAATATTGATCCCTGAGATCCCTGACGAAGAACTCCATTACCCGTACTGCCGGAACTATTTTGATGTTGTACTGGTCCACTTGCTTGTCGTCCTGGACTTGCTGTTTGTTTTGGAGAGCCATGAACACTACTTTCAGGACTACTACAAGGTGCTGTTGACTGTCTTGGTAAAACTGGAACTGGTGATCCAAAACTTGATGTTCTTGCCAAAATATTTCCACCACTTGGTTGTCTTGCTAAAGCTGGACTCATTGGCGGAGCCTATTGGGAGTTTTTTTTCAATTTAGAAAAGGCTATCATTTCATATTGTACGATAAAATTTATAGGACAATTTATCCTTAAACACTATTTGTGGATTTTGCTGTAAGTGTCAGTCTGGACTATTACAATCCGATGCTTTAGTTTTCTTTACAGTAAATATCTGGATAGCATAATCTGAAATTGCAGATTAAATCACGGTAGGATGAATCTGTTTTACTCCCGAGGTTCAATTTGCTATTTCAGATCATGCTATTCAGATACTATACCAGGCTCTAGACAACAAATAGAATTAAAATTGCAATGTAATTGTGAAATGTACATTTAAATTTTACCTAAACATAAACGTGTATTTGTGTTCTCATTGTTTTACTAAAATATTAATAATTAAATTAGAAATTTACGGTGCATACATTAGATAATATATCAAGAAATACATTTAGAAAAAAAGAGTGCTAGCGAGACAGGGGAAAAGGAAAATTTAAATACATTTGTGCTGATTCATTGTAGGTGTTTTGATTACAAGACGTGATCATACAAGGACATTTATACGTGCGATTAAGAAACAGATCCGTATATGCATCCTGGTTATTAAAGTGCTGTTATAATAAAAGTATTTCGTTCTGTTATTTACATATTAATGTTTAATTTTTTTTCTACAGTACAGTTATGCAAAAAACAGAATGAAATTGTGCTGAAAAATTTGGTGCAAAATTAAAAAGTGTCCAATGAAGAATTTAGTATGTTATAAAATTTGATTCATAGGACACCCTTTATGACAAATTGAAGAATTAATAAATAAATATATAGAGAATAAAGGATTTGTAATGAGGCAGGCACGAGAGGACTGACTCACTGGAATGTTAGATTTAGTAAGACGAAAAGTCCTGTGGGGAGTTGTGGGGCGATCAGAGTCACTGTGCGAAGGGGTTGCTAAGGATCCCGTGCCAATTCCATGTTGGCCTATTGTACTTTGTGCGCTCAGGATTGTGCGAAGTGTCGTTGTCGTTGTCGACGCTGAATCTGATTCAAAGCTACCTCCCTCCGTCTTATCCTATGGGTTCACCGTCACTGCTCTATTAGCAAGGTCCCAACATCGTTCGACAATAAGCATCAAGCATAATTCCCCAATCGACCAAAATTTTACATCAAATTAATATTCACGATCAATGTATTCAATTTTCCATTTCGTGAGTATGAGAAATAATTAGCCGAAATTTTAATATTTTCTGTATTAATTAATTTTGTAATTTCTTTGGAACTAATTTTTGGGTGACGTTATTTCAAAGAGCCGAAAATTCACTACTTTGATTAAGCCAAGATTTGGGAGTTTTAGGTTTCGGATAGGCTTTCAAAAACAAAAGTGCAAAATCCTCGGCTCTGGAACAATTCGACCAAGTTCCTCTGCATTAGGAGACGTTACAAAATTTTGAACTAAATTTCCCGGTCGATTGAGGAAGAGGAAAAATTGCAGTGACAAAAAAATTAGAGCGAATAGTTGCCGTTGTTGTGTAATGTTAAGCTGTTAAGCATTTAATTAGATTTTAACAATTTATAGAATTCAGGATTGTCGTTGAGTCACATTCATGTATTTACATTTGTGAATCAAGAATCAAAAAAAAAAATACTTACGTTGTCGCTTTTCATTGTTTGTGAACCCTCGACAGCCTTTGGATTCAATTCGAATTCAGAGTCTCTGTTGAAACTCGGACTACTTAAATCACTATGACTGGATGATGTGCTAGGTGGACTTTCAGGACGAGCTGGTCCGGAATCTTCCTCTACACCTGGATACTGAAGAGAACTTGGAGGATTGTACAAATTCTTTGGATCCACAGCAAGTGGCATTGGATGTGTATGATTCACTTTAAAAAAAGAATTTAATTCTTTAATTAAGAATTAATCGCAATTGTTTTCTTTACTTACGTTCATTAAAAACTTACTGGGTGATAAATCAGATGACACCATTTCGGAGACAAAATCACTTAACGATGAATAGGAAGAACTTGTGCTTTCTCCTCCCTCTGAATCAGAACCACTTTCATCAGTTGGTTGACTCTCGTGTTCCTTCATTGCCTTCAGTGCATTTGCCAATGAACTTCCCGAATCCCAAACGGGAAAATTAATTGGTTCAAGTCCATTGGCATACCATCGGGATTTATCTCCAATTTGTGCGGGATCAAATACTCCGGTTTGAACTCTCAAAAAGGCAACATTGCTTGGTGTTAAACTCCACTCGGCAAGAAATTCAACTGCCTGAGTTCTGGCAAATTCGTTCAGAAATTGACTTGCTCTTGGTCGTGAACGTAGAAATGAATTAATTTGAAAGGCGACTACTGGTCTTGGATAAAGCCTCAGGGTTCGTGTATGTTCAGTGAAATTTGCGAGAAGATTTTGTGAATTGAAGAATCGTACCATTGCTACTCTTGTGGCAATATCTACAGAGTCAACGTCACTGCCGTAGATAAAGGGATTAAATGGAGCTGTGGATTGATTCTGTGGACGTTGGGGTGATGAACCAGATCCAGTGGAAGTAGCCATTGATGGACGTCGTGGACTCGTTGCACTTGGAGAACCCAGTGGACTTATGTGTGTAGGTGTACTTAAATCCATGCTTGGTCTGTGTTTTGCCGATGAGACGCTGTAAATTAGGAAATACATAATCACTAAATTCTTAGATGATTTTGGATCAAGACTTTGAAAATTCTATTCACCTCAAAGTAGAATGATACGAAGCACTACTCTCTCTTCTACTTGAGGCTGAAACCGTTTGTGTAGATCCCGATTGTGGCGTGAAGGGATGAGTTTGAGGAACTGTCATACTGCCCATAGCCTTAAAAAGGGGTACTTAATTTTAGAAACGATTTTCGTTTTAGCATTTTAGCTGCTACTTCTAGCTTCTACAATTTTCGTTTCTTAATTTACTACATTATAATCTGGCCACTATTGCATTTCAGTGAGGTTTCCGTTGCAAAAAAAGGCAGGGATAAACCTAAGGGAGGAAACCACAGTAGGAGTTTGAATTAGTGAAGAAAAATTGTTTCCAGCACGTGTAAAAATTAAAAATGCTACACGTTTCGCAGAGAAAACATATCAGCGGACATAACTGTCGTATTTTTCCTTAATGGGACAAAAAAAAACATTGTTCAAAACAGCAATAAAATAATGTCATTGAATTTTACTTGATTCTTCCTATAATAAAGAAATCCATAAAAATGAACTAATGTGGTTTCCCTCCTTAAAAGTTGATAGTTAAAAACATTGAGCTGGAAAATTAAAAAACAAAAACCTTTTCCTGATCGTATATTTTTTTTTTTGAAAATTACAATCAGGATAGGGTTAAAAATGAAATAATAAATTTAGTAATATTTTCTAGTTAGTACTTTTAGCGAGCAAAAGAAACAATAACTACTTTCAGTTTATTTAGAGCTTCCTATGTGAGATAAAAGTTTACATAATATCAAAAAGCAAGGGAAAATTAATTTTCTCTTTGAATAAAGTTTCTAAAATAAATTTTCATGCAACAATGAATAATTTATCAAGTTAAGATATTTACACCAGAGCCAGCTTGGTCCATCAGTTGCATTGCCTGCGGAAGCAAAATGAGCAGCGGGGGATTAGAAGAAAGTTGCAGTTAGTATAAACGCGGTAGAAAGTTTATATAGCTCTAGAGTTGAGAGTTTTTGAAAATTCATTAATAGAAATAGTACATATCAGAAAAAAAGGGGGGAGAAATAGTAAATAACATCCCAGGATTAATATATGCAGCCCATATTAAGTAGCAACATTGAAACACCCATGTTTTTTTTTGCTGAAAAACTTAAAATTTTAATTATTATTTCCATTTTTTTCTTAATTAATTAGTTTTTGTTGCCGGGGAGAGGGGAATAAGTTCACAAACCTGTTTTAGATGATTTTTCAAAATTGTTCCTTCTGGTTCAGGTAGAGGTGGAAGAGGATCGTTGTATCTTGTTGGTGGTGTGATTTTATTACTGTCTAAATCAACAAGCCAAATATCGCCTGGCATTTTAAAATTTTTCTTATAAAGAAGAAATGACGCTGGTATTCCAATTACAAATGGCGTTGGACTCAGTAGTAATTGTTCAGCGTCACTCATACAAGTTGGTAACAATGGAATTGTGGGAAACATATATTCCAATGGATAAATCATTGTGACAAATGCCATTACAGACATTGATAAGGCATTGTAGTCACGTGATTGTAATACAATCTGTAATGATAATTTTTTTGTATCATCTAAAGTTTAAATTCTAAAATTTAAAAAAAAATAAAATTTTACCTTGTGTTCCAATAAAATGAGGGACATTACTTTTAGGCATATGTCAACTCCAAGTAATTCGAGTGGCAAATGAAGAGGGAAATCGACAAGGGAAAATCTGGTATGATCTGGAAGAGCAAAACAAAGTGGTGGTTGTATACTTGGTGATAGAATTTCAACTTCGACTCTTGTTTTTGAAGGAACTGGTACGGGTGCACTTAATAGACGTAATATCCATGTTTCGATTTCTCGTATATCGTGAAGAACAATCGATGATGCTCCATCGAAACTTAAACCAGTGAAAACAGTCCACAATGATTCTCTGAAAAAAAATATTTAATGGAATTTTGAAATACAGTCACCGAATATATGTAAAAAAAATTATTTGATGAATTTTACCTTGTACTCTGACGAGATGCTCCACATCTATGAGGAGTTGTAGTTTCGTTGCAAGCGTCAATGAGCTTTTTTAAAACAAATAGGCACTCTCGAAACATTGTGAAAAAAGGATGATGTGAAATTATGCAAAGTGAAGTTAGCGAAAGATTTTTCATCCTCTGTTAACAATTAAAATAAAGTTAAATAGTTTTTTTTTAGCTCCCATTTTGATATACTGTTTTCTAATTACCTGTCGTCTTCGTGACGCTCTAGGAGATGGAGAATGACTTCCGCCACTTTCACTATCACCACTTGGTGCAGTTACACCTAATTTTGGCGCATGAGGTGCATGAGAAGTATCCGAATCCCTTCGACTTGGACAATCCTTTTCTGAATCACTTGGACCTATTACACTGCTTCTATAGTCGCTACAACAAAAGAACAACTCAAGTTAAGGTCTTTTTTTTTTAAGCAGAAATAATAAATTTTACATTTTCTTTTTCTTCACCTGGAGAATGCGGAATCCGAACTTTTCTCCATACTCTTCCGCCAACTTTCCCTACGGAAATTGGTATTGTGTTTGTCCCTCCTAATAGCACTTCCTGCTGTTCCATAATTTCCCGTTCTTTCAATTGGTCGATAAAAATTGACGCAAGTTCCATAACGAGTTCTTCCTGAAAATGGAATAACTTAATTGGAGAAAAAAAAATTCTATGAGCAAAAATTTACATACCACAATCTTTGTCGGTGAGGGTAAATGTAAATGATGTTGCTTCTCGCAATGCTGTACGTTTTGGCCCGATACTATTGCAATATTCGGGTTGACAAAAATAAACCATATCTCGTGGTAAGGGAAAGTCTTTATGATCTTCAATTGGATACCTTCGTAATAATTCCGGTACCTATGGAACAATAATTAAATGTAGAAGAAATAATAAAAAAAAAAAATTTTGCTAGAAGAAAATTGAAAATCTTAACCTGCACAGGCTGGCGAGAAGTCGGTGAAGGCCTGGCCCCCACTATGGCGAGATAATCCACCAAGCGAGGGCACAGGAACTTCTTATGTACATCCATGCCTGTTTTTTAAAATATCGTCACCGATGTGCCAATCGTGATATTTCGCTTGTGTCCGGCGGCTTTACACATCGCATCATGATTTCAACATTCTCCAAAAATTTTCGCTATGAAATCTGTAATTTCAAAATTTATAATGCATTTTAGTATCAGTGATCGTTATCGTCAAAAAAGCTACTTCAACGCCTGGTGAAGAATATGGGAATTAATTTCAGTGACGTACAGTTTAAAATCTCCGTCATTTATTTAATTTAATTTAAAAAGTATAAAACTTAATTATTGTCCGATACTGAAAACTATGAGAAAATTTTAAATTATGGTTTTAGTTTTATTATATTAAGAAATAAGTAACTTTGGATACAGTCAAATGGAGCAAATTGGTAGATTACCAAAATGGAATAATTACATAAAACTAATATTAAATTTAAATCAAAAAAAAAAAATTATCGGGATTTGAAAGACAAGAAAAATGTGACATTCAACACTCTAAGTTTGCTTTTTTCGAACCAATTTACTGAAGTGATTGTAATGTCATATAATCGATAAAGGACAAACCAATTAGAAATGCTTCTTACTGACTAAGTGAACTCTCGGATCGTATGTTTTAGCTAATATTAAACATGTTTGGAAAAAAAAATGCTTTTATCAAATTTGCTATTTTTAAATCACAATTTATAAATTAAAAATGTAAAAACAAAAAATATTTTAAAAAACATAAAATAATATAATGAAATTGTAAGGATATGTAATACAGAAAACTTTGGAAGCTCGTGAGACAACTAATGGATTAGTAACATTTAAAGTTTAAAGGGATTTATTTAATGTTTGCATTTTCAATAAGATTTTTTATCTCTTTGTAAATTTGTGGGATGTAAATATAACTGAATATACATCCGATTCGTTTTCCAATATCTAATATTGTTTTCCAATAATTGTCAAAAGTGAAACAAATCACTATAATTGGAATTAAATTTCCTAACCGGAATTAATTTATCCATTTTTACGTCAGCCTTTATCGAATTATTCGTATAAATATAGTAACATTGGATTAATTTTTTTGGTATCGAGGAAAAATTTCCATTAATGTCTAAATGTTCCAAAACATTTGGATATGTATTCCTAAAACCTTTTTTCTAATTTCATCATCAGGGACTCAATTACGTAACTTTTTCCCGATTCCACATTCCACTTTGCACATGCCGGATTCCCGATCCCACATTCCGTATTCCACTTTCAAAATTCCGTATTCCGGATCCTATATTCCATATTCCGTATTCCACTTTTCGGTTTCCACTTTCAGAATGTGGGATGTAGAATCCGGAATTTTGAAAGTGGAATCCTGAATGTGGAATATGGAATATAGGATCCGGAATACGGAATTTTGACAGTGGAATCCGGAATGTGGAATCTGGAATACGGAATTTTGAAAGTGGGATCCGGAATGTGAAATCCGGAATACAGAATGTAAAAAGTGGAATCCGGAATGTGGAATACGTAATGTGAGAATAGGAATACGGAATTTTGAAAGTAGAATCCGGAATGTGTAATACGGAATTTTGAAAGTGGAATCCGGAATGTGGAAAACGAAATGTGGAATACCGAATGTGAGATCAGGTATACGGAATTTTGAAAGTGGAATCCGGAATGTGAAATACGAAATGTGGAATACGGAATGTGAGATCAGGAATACGGAATTTTGAAAATGGAATTTGGAATGTGGAAAACGAAATGTGGAATACGGAATGTGAGATCAGGTATGCGGAATTTTGAAAGTGGAATCCGGAATGTGAAATACGAAATGTGGAATACGGAATGTGAGATCAGGAATACGGAATTTTGAAAATGGAATTTGGAATGTGGAAAACGAAATGTGGAATACGGAATGTGAGATCAGGAATACGGAATTTTGAATGTGGAATCCGGAATGTGAAATACGAAATGTGGAATACGGAATGTGAGATCAGGAATACGGAATTTTGAAAGTGGAATTTGGAATGTGGAAAACGAAATGTGGAATACCGAATGTGAGATCAGGTATACGGAATTTTGAAAGTGGAATCCTGAATGTGGAATACGGAATGTGGGATCAGGAATACGGAATTTTGAAAGTGGAATCCGGAATCTGAAATACGGAATTTTGAAAGTGGGATCTGGAATGTGGGATCTGAAAAAAGTTACGTAATTGACCTCCAGGAAATTCTTCAGGCTTTTTTATTATATTTATAAAAATGATCGTATTTAGAAAAGAATTTTGAATAAATTTTTGATATTTTAAGGATATACGGTGGCTTTTAGATATTTTAATAATTTAAAAAAAAAATTATTAAAAAAATTCTTTTTGTAAAGATACGAAGTTAGAAATTAACGAATCATGAAAATTTTGGTAATTTAAAAAAAGAATTATTGGAACTTTTGGTTTTTGACACTTTTGTCCTCCAACGGAATTTCTCATTTAGAAGCAAAGTTCAAAAAAAAAAAAATTTATACACATTTAGCAAACGTAAAAAAAAAGTTTCAAAAAATTTTGCATAATATCACGTAACACTGCTCGCACTTATTTATTTTACAATCAATTTGATTAATACATAGTAAAAAAAATATATAAATATTTTCAACTTTTGTTATGAAACAATTTCTTATTACTTAACTTCTAATTACAATTTACCCCAGCATTATTTTTGAAACAATACCCACTGTCAAATCGAGAAAAGGGGTGCGTCAACTTTATTGAACACGACACAAGAATCTATACATCAAAAATAAAAAATTTTTTTCCCCCCCAAAAAAAAAGAAAATAAATTTGCAATTTCATCTATAAAAAAAATCTTCTTTACCATTTTGAAAAAAAAAATTATAAAAATTCCTACAATATAAAATTGTACGAATATCGATTAATTTTAAATCACTATATTTGAACCACTATTTTCCTTTATTTTTTCATCAATATAAATTGTAATTTGGTTTTTATATCACATTTGAGTAAACTTTAACTTTAACTTAATTTTAATATTCTATTTTGAGGTGTAATTTACCTGAACGATAAACGAATTTCACAGAAAGTGTTCATGAAAGGACCTATCATCATCATCATTAGAGTGGAAAAGGATTATTGTGTGTGTGTTCAGACACTTCCCTTATATATATATATATATATATATCGCGCAATTATTGGCGTTTGCTCAAAAGAATTTTTATTTTCCTGACTCGACACTTAAATATATATTATGTGAGAAGGATATTAATGAAAAATCACGTACACGTTTGAGGATTAAGTTAAGCCCCAAGAAATGGTATATAAAACACTGATAAAAATAATAAAGAATATCGTCGAGTCTCTGATGGACGGATTCTCATTTTGTGCACTTGCGCGGGTCACATCTTGTGTGGATATATATATATATATATACGGATTTTTCTGATGATTTCATGCTACGCGCAGGTTCCCAAATCCCTTCTACCAGTAAAAAAAAAAAGATTTAATTGTTTCCAAAAAATTGTAAAATTGTACGTTATTTATAATTTTAGTAAAAAAAACATTTTAATTTATAATTTTACTCTTTTTACAAAGATACTCAGGTGGCATACGTAATATTACACCCTAAAAATGAGCCAAAAGTTTTGAACGTTCAAATGAACAAAATTTGTTTTGTAACTTCTTTAAGTACGAATTTTATTACAAAATATTGTTTTAAATATATAAAAAGAAGTTATTAATTTCATATTTGTTTAATTTACTGTTTTATTTTACATTGACATTATAATTTCTAATAATTTATAGATTGAAAAAAATATTTTGTTCATTTGAACGTTCAAAACTTTTAGCTCATCCCTAAAAACATAGTAATATTATATGAAATTTTCGTAATTTTATAGTGATATTACAATAATATAAAAATATATACCAAAAAGTAATATTACACGTAATATTATCTTAATATTGCAATAGATTATTTAAGAAATATTACTGATATTACAGTAATATTAAAATTTCCACCTAAAGATAATAATACACCAATATTACCATGTAATATTTGATAAATATTACATTGTAATATTATCTATAATGTTAACTTAATATTACTTGTAATATTACTTCAATATTACAGGTAATATTACAGTAATATTTCACAAATATTACATGGTAATTTTACAATAATATATCCTAAATATTACAGGCAATACTATAGTAATATGACCTCAATATTACTTTCAAATATTACAGTAATATTTCACAAATATTCCTTTGTAATATTACCTGTAATATTATCTCAATATTACAAGTAATTTTTCTTTGAGGCGAACATTTTAATATTACTTTAATATTTACTAAATATGACAGTAATATTTCACAAATATTACAATATGGTAATTTTACTTATAAAGTTACATAAATATTAGTTGTAATATTACATCAATATTATTTTATATTACATGTATTTTTCCCTGAGGCTAACATTTTAATATTACTGTAATATTTTAAATAAAACAGGTAATATTACTTTATAATATTAAAGTAATATTTCAAAAATATTACATCATAAAATTACCTATAATTTTACCTTAATATTACATTTATTATTAAGAAATACTACAAGTAATATTTTAGTAATATTTTCTTAATATTACTAGTAATATTATCTCAATATTACATGTAATTTTTCCTTGTGGCTATAACATTCTAATCTCGATTTTAATATTATTGTAATATTTCCAAAATATTATAATAATATTTTAAATCAATAATATTTTAAAAATATTACAGTTACCTTAATGTTACAGTTATTAAGGAATATTACAGGTAATATTGCAGTAATATTACCCTAATATTACTTTAATATTTCCCTAATGCGAAAATTTTAATATTACTGTAATATTTACCAAATATTACAATAATATTTCCAAAATATTAAATGGTAATTTTACTTACAATTTTACCTTAACATTAGTTGTAATATTACCTCTTAAGCACAGGTAATATTACAGTAATATTACCTCAATATTACTTTATATTACTGTAATATTTGACAAATATTACTTTGTAGTATTACCTTAATATTACATGAGATTATATCTTGAGGCGGATATTTTAATATTATTGTAATATTCCTGTAATGTT